TGTGACCACCAATTTTAATGTTATACTATTGTGTTTTAATATTGTAATTATATTTAAAAAGGTAAAGGTTTCCTTGCTCGAAAGCCAGTCGAGTCCGACTCTAGGGTTTCAAAGCCGAAGAGCCAGCGCTGTCCGAAGACATTTCCATGGTCATGTGGCCGGCATGACTAAACACCACGGTGCACGGAACGCTGTTACCTTCCCACCGAAGTGGTACCTATTTATCTACTTTGTACTGCTATTATGTTGTTACCTGCTCTGAACCGGCTTGCGGGAAGGGCAGGCAATAAACAAACAAACAAACAAATAAATAAATAAGCATGGTTTCCAATTATGGCTATGGCTTTCACCCCACCCACTCCACATCCATCAATTGTATCATACAACCTCCAAGTTAACTGTCTTTCTCAGGCTAGCCTATCTTGCCGAGCTTCCAAACAAAACTTTCAATTCTCTGGTGAATTCTGTGCACTGAAAAAAAGCACTTATATCCTGCAGGAGCGCACAGGAGGGGAGCTCCGGCAGTAAAGAGCCCAGGGGGTGGGCACATGCAACAAGCCCCACCCCCTACTCCCAGCAGCCCTCAGTCAGAGCAAGAAGCAGCCAGGTAAGTTGCAGAGCTCGGCCCCGCGGTCCAAAACAGTCCATTGGCAGCTTTAAGACCAAGTTTTATTCAGGTACAAGCTCTCCCTCCTCTGCGAGGACAGATCTGCACGTTTCCCCCCCCCCCCCAATACCTGGCAATCCAAAACAGTCCAGTGGAGCCTGAGAGGTGGGTGTTGCCTTCTGACACACTTCCAATGATGTCAGGGGGTATGGCATATGCAAATAAGTTATGGTAATGAGTTCCTGCACCTCTTTTTCTACAAAATGACCCCTGCTTATATCTACCTATGATCCATCACAAAAAACCCTTAAGCATTGAAATATTTACAAATCCAGACCAGTCGACTTGGACCAGCATTTATTCATATTTTAGCTACAAACCTATTTTGTTTCAAAAATATGCGCCATAAGACACATGCACTATACAACTGTAAAACAACCTCAGTATTTATAGATACCATTCAATTCCCCATTTACATTCCATTATTTGGAAAAAGCAGTATAGTGCCAACGCTTTGAAGTAAGTGTTTTTCAGTTCAATCCATGTTACATGAAATGACTATTTCTTAAGCTTTAAGCCTTGGGACACAATCAAGTCACACAGTTCAGTCAAGACAAACAGCTTTGTTGGGTACAAAGTCTCAGCTGTGCTGTTTGGGCAATTAGTAGAGCCTTGTCAGGTGAGCAGGCCTTTCCACACAACTCTACTCCTGTCACAGCTGCCATGGCAAAGAAAGCTACCAAAGTCAATAAGGATCAAACCAGGGGAGTTTCCCTTCCCCACCGTTTACTTCCTTCTTGAGGACCTGTAGTGTCATTTTGTTGTTCTCTGATCAAAGTTCATAGTATGTGCCTTTGTCCTCACTGCTATCTAAACAAAAATCTTCCATAAATCCAAGCAGTCCCAACAAGAGCAAATAAAAAGCAAACCCATTTACGCAATAAAGGAAGTGACCACGAGGTAATTTTTTTAGGTTAAAGACCGAGAAGGTTATCTTTACCTCAGTAGGAACTGACTCAAAAGGACAGAGGGCAGAACCCAGAAATGAGAGTTTAGAATAAAAGAAGGAAATATTGTAGCTGAAAGATATCACCAGAGGAAAGGATTTTGACTAGAATAAAACTAAGAAACTGGGAATAAAAAGAAGGGGATAGATAGGCGTTTATAGGAGAGAGATGTGGCAAAGGAAGCCAATTATTTCAGGGAGCATTTTCCTCCCTCCTTTGAACTTTCAAGTCTTTCTGTTGTGGTGTAGCGGTTAGTGTGTCATTAGAACTGCAGGTCCAGTCCCACTCTGACATGAAGCTCACTGGGTAACCTTGGGCCAGTCAATCTTTCTTTCAACTCACACATTATTGTGTGGAGTGAAGAGCTATGCATCCCACTCTTGTCTTCTCAAGGAAGACCTGCCAGTTAGGCCTTGGGCCCATGGTACCATCTGTTCTGGATGCAAAAGTGACACCCATTAGGCACAGGAGCCTTTCAGCAGCTGCCACCATACTGTGGAATGTTTTCCCTCAAGAGATGTATTTAGGCCCATTCTTTTGCTCCCTTTGTGGGGCAGGCAGAAACATCACTCCACCTCTGAATCTCTATTACTTAAGGTCAATATACCTAGGTTGTAAAGGCTGATCTTGCTACTTTGGCCTCTTTTTCTGTTATTCCCTTGTTCTTGTTTGTAGCTTTAATTGATTGCTTGAAGTATTCATTTGTACTTTAAAGTTGTGAATGACTGTTGAAAAAGCAGTCATAAGTAAAACAAATCAGTTTGTTGAAATGATGTATCCTAGTATGTTATGTCAAATAATGGTCCCTGAACTTTCATAGAAACTATGACTACTTTCCCAATGAACATAATAAAAGATGTCTGTTTCAGTTATTATCTCATTCCCTTTGTCTTAATATAAGACAGAAAAGACTGGCACCTACCATGATGGAATGCCAGATTGTTTCATTAGCCGAGAGATATATCAGCCTACTGAGTCTTGACCACAGTATGCGATAATAAGAGAAAACTAGTAAACAGCAAATAATCTTGTATGGATTTTGTTTAAACTAAAGATATACTTTTGCAGTAATTAGGACAAACTCCTGAGGCAGTACTCCTCTACTTCCTATGAAAGAAACTGAAGTGACACAGGAAATCTGTTATCAAATCTCCTGGTGTCTACTTTCAGCTTTAAATGTTTCTATTTATTTGTTTAATTTTTTTTTGGGGGGGGGAGCAGGCACCTTTTCCAACACGGCTTATAACCAAGGAATACCACACCAAAATGAATAAAAACATCACATAGTATTCTATTGAACAAAGTGTGAGTCCAGTGGCACCTTTAAAACCAAGAAAGATTAATTCTGGGTATAAGCTTTTGTGAGCCTTTCAGATACACTGAAACTGCCAACCATTACATATAAGTGGTGGTGGGGGGGGGTTAGTTGCCAGGAAGGGATAATTGGAGTCAAGATGCATAAGTAACTGAGCGATTCTGGTATTCTATTACTCTATTCTAGTACTCATTACCCAGATAGCACAGCTTGTAACAAAGGCATACCTCACCAAAATGAATAAAATATCACATAGTATCACTTATTATCCAAGAATAACATAACCCCAAACAATAGCATCATTATAGGGATGCTAACCTCCGGTTCGGCCCTGGAGTTCTCCCAAAATTGCAACTTATCTACAATCTACAGAGATCAGTTTCCCTGGAGAAAACAGCTAGTTTGGAGGGGAAAATCTATAAAACTATATTTATTTATTTATTTAGGTATTTTTACCCCGCCCTCCCCGCAAGCGGGCTCAGGGCGGCTTACAAGGGGCGAAAGACCATACATAAAATACAATAAAACAATAAAATCATAAGCAACAACACTACTAACAACAATAAAGTGCTTTCAGTATCAAGATGGTCTAGAGTGGTTATGATGGTTTCTTCCAACAGCTCCATTGGGGTACCACTGTCCAGTAGATCCTTCGTGCCAGTCCCATGTTATCAGTACTACATAGTTTATGGCTGGGCTATCAAGGGCCATTCCCGATCTCGATGTTATTGCCACCATTGGTGGTGGTGGCAGTGGCGGCCCCTACGCGAAAGCCTGGCGGAAGAGCTCCATCTTGCAGGCCCTGCGGAACTGCATAAGGTCCCACAGGGCCCTGATCTCCTCCGGGAGCTCATTCCACCAGGTAGGGGCCGCCACTGAAAAAGATCTAGCCCTTGTCGCAGCAAGCTTTACCTCCTGGGGACCTGGGATCACCAAACGGTTCTGGGTCCCTGACCGAAGTGCTCTTGGGGGTACATGTGGGGAAAGGCAGTCCCTCAGGTAGGTCGGAAGTCCCTCCTCTGCAGGCTCCATCCCCAAATCTCCAGGAATTTCCTAATGTTGACAACCCTAATTCCTCTATTAATTTGTAGTTCCGAAGAAATAAACCAAAACCTTTGTGTGCAAAACTGTTCTACAAGATTTCCTGAAGGCCAGCAGTGAGGGTAGTGTCCTAACATTCTTTGGCAATTCATTCTGGAGCATCAGGCCAGCGACTACAAAAAGGCCCATGGTTGGGCTGCTAAAGACTGAATACACCTCAGAGATGGCACATAAAGTTAAAACTGCTGGAAGGAGCTTATCTGGCACATGGGTTCAGATCTGCAGAGATGGTTTTTCAGATAAAGCTGTGATGAAATACAGATTGGATCAGAGACACTGAATCTTTCTTCATGTGTGAGCATGCTTAATCATGTTCTGAACATACAGCATTTGAAATTAAAGTGGCTGTGCATGGAAACCAGGGACTGTTTTACATAAACTGTAAATTTGTACCTAATAGAAGACTTAGAATGATTTTGGATCTAAAATGAATGTTTTCGTCCCAATTATTTTTATACTAGATTGTAGATTAACGGATAGCCAAAAACTTCCCAACCAAAGTATTTATTGGCATACACACACTTAGGCATGTATTTAAACAAATTCTCATTTAATATTTCAAGGGTTAATTACAATGCTTCTGAAATATTTCTGTATTGCATCACATTTGTTATTTATGAAAAATAAATATCCAGTTTCCCCAATATGTTCAAAATGGTTTATATCAATAAAAGTTCAAGAAAAAGGTAAAAAAGCAATAAAATGACAAATCAAAGATATTAAGCAATTTTAAAATTGCTTAACAGAGTAAAATATAGAATTTGCAGTAGATTAGACCATCGATAGCAACAATAGCTAAGCAGCAAAGCCAAACAACAAAGTCAACATAACAGAATAAAACCAGATGACAAATTTAACTCAAAGCAATATTGCATAAGTGAGTTTTCCCCTGATTCCTGAACACAAAGAAGGTACTAGGTGAGCATTAGGAGCATGAATGTTCCACAGACACTGGGTAGCCGTCATTTACCTGCTGTATACCAGGCAGTCCATTCTATTGATTTTCTTGTCCAGCTTGAATCTCCGAAAATCCTCCCACGCATCTTTGATGGCTGTGATGGCCATGATAACACAAACCGGGATCACGGATATACCTGGCTCAAAGGCATTGACCACTGGCACAAAGTTGAGAGTCGCAATGGCCACAAAATATACATTGGCAAAACGATGGAATTGCTCAAAGATGTTTTTGGGAATAAAAGTCAGGAGGGAATATCTTGTTGTTTTGATTTTGTTTCCTCCATAATGTCTGTTTGGGTTTTCTTTCCACCTGTTGCCTTCGAAGGGCAAGTTAGAAACAACCACTCTTTTTGTTTCTTCTTTCCTTTTTTTCCTCTTCCATCTCCTCATGGGCTCCTCGTTCGGAGTGGCAGAATCTGAAGCAACACTCTGGCAGCATGGGCTTTGGAACCAAAGTCTGTCCCTTATGAACTGTATAGAGCACATTTCTTTAACATCTTCCTGCCCCTTCAAACTTACACTTTACCAGCACAAGGTTTAGAAAATTAAGGGTTAAGTATTCCAGCTGATTTGCTATATGGTGAAGTGCCGGACGGACTGAGTTTAACTAAACCTTTTGCTTGCATGTAATCAACACCTGCCGGCACACAGACGTCACACAGGCACACACACACAGAGTAGTATCATCCTCCTATAAACTGGTTCCTCTGTCTTCAGTGTGCGTGATCCTGGGTCCTAGTGCTTGCTCTTTGTGTTGATAAGTGAGGAAGTTGTTCTGGAGATTTATACCTAAACAGAAACTTTCTGCAAAACACACTGAAAAGCAGAAAACTTTCAGAATCTCTCCAACTCTGCTAAAAAGAAATGCAAAGTTTTTATGCAACCCAGTTCCATGCAAACCCAATTACTTTGCTATATTCTGTAAAAAGTTGAATTTTGCAACCTGTATTTATTATAAAAATAAAGCAGTTTTGTATATTTTTGCTTATTTTTCACAATTTATTTTGCATGTCCTAAACATAGTGTTACCATGTGTGGTCAAAATACCTGCATTGCTGGGATCATCTTCATATAAACCTATGACTGCTTTCCAACTGGAGCCCATACCCATACCAAAATAGGCCCATATAAGGAAGCTACCTTCTTCTTCTTCAGTCCATATAAGGAAACTACCTTCTTCTTCTTCGGGAGCCCAAATAACCCTTTTTAACACCCAAAATCTTCACCTTAATAAGAATACAGGAAGCAGTTCTTAAACTAACTGGACGAACATGCATGGGGGCCAGAAACAGGATTTTAATATTAATTTAAAACCAGTAACAACATTCTGTAGGAATTTATTCCCAAATCTCTGAATTGCACCTATTATTATCGAAGTGGTAAGATAACAGAGCACAGAGTTAGAGCACAACTTAATGAATAATTTTATTTATTTATGTTATTTAGAGTAAACTTTTAAACTTACTTAATATACACTTTAGGCTTACCAAGTACTTACCTTGAATCGGTGGGGGACACATACGTCCTGTCAGGAACATTCCTGCGCGGAAAACAAACATGCCGCACCATGCCATTGCCCAGACATGACGCCAGCATGCTGGGCACCTAGCTGGGCAATGCTCTGGCAATGGCGTCGCCCAGCTACGTGCCCAGCATGCTGCCATCACATCTGGGCGACGGCATGGTGCGGCGGGGATGTGTTCCACGAAGGGATGTTCTGGCCGGGAACCATGTGTCCCCCGCCGAATCAAAGGTAGGTACTTGGTAAGCCTAATACATTTTGGTTTTCGAAGAGCTGATCTGCTGATCAAATCTGTGTCTCTCATAGTCTTCAATGCCATCTTTAATTGCGATAATTAAAAGCACAGCAGCCAAAGATAACATTGTGATCTCCCTATGGAAGACTTCCAACTGTGGAAACCAATTGATGATAGCCAAAAACAGGAAATGCAAATTGGCCAGCCTAAAAAAAAGTTACCTAATATTAACCAAGCTATAAATTTCACTTGCACATTTTAATTTGCTTTATTTTTTCCATGTGAGAGATAGGGTGCCAGCCCTAGCCTGACAACTAGTGGGAGACTGGGAGTGTGGACATGAGGGGCAGCTGTCATTGATAGCATGATGTCACCTGGGAAAACCCCAGAACTTACATCATGCCAGAAGCTCTATGATAAAAGACACAGTCACAGGTCATTTACCAAGATCTGCAATAAACTCTGTGAGCCAAAGTTTTTCTGAGAAGGTAGCTTAAGTGCTGCCTAATCAACTACTTCTGAAAAAAGGAGTTTGTGATATGGCATGGTGTGTGTGGTTCAAGGATGAAATATCATGAATATTTAAAATCAGGGGTTATTTAGTAGAAAAAGAGGTGCAGGAGCTCATTAGCATAACTCATTAGTATAACTTATTTGCATATGCCACACCCCCTGACATCACTGGAAGTGTGTCAGAAGGCAACACCCACCGCTCAGTCTCCACTGGACTGTTTTGGATTGCTAGCTATTGGGGGGGGGTGAAACGTGCAGATCTGTTGTCGCAGAGGAGGGAGAG